AAGACATGACAAAATAATAATAATTTATAAATTATCAAGGGTTCGTGAGGAAGCGGGAGCGGGGAGGGAGGGGGAAAATGTAGAGTTGATGCCAACGGTTCAAGTAGAAAGCAAATGTTTTCAGTATGATGATGGCAACAAATGTACAAAGGTGCTTGACACAATGGATGGATATATGGATTGTGATAAGTAAGAGTTGTATGAGCCTGCAGTAAAAAAAAAAAAAGTTACAGTCTCAGAAACCCATGGGTCAGCTCTACCCTGTTTTATTAGGCTGCTATGACTTGAAATTAACTCAGTGGCAGTGAGTTTGGTTTTTGTTTTTTAAATTTGAAATAATAAAATAATCAATAATACAAATAGTATAATGATATAAATAAAATAATAAAATGTATGTAAGTGAAATAGTAGAATAGATGTTCTGTCAGATTTGGTTTGTTTCAAAATTATTTTCATTGGATTTTATGCATAATTACTACAAGAAGCTAATTGGTTTCTGTTTCTGTTCATTATTATATAGCATTGTATGAATAAGGAGCTATGGCGGTTTGTTGGAACTGCTAAAGACAGGGTTGGCAGTTCAAATCTACCAGCTACTTTCTGAGGGAGATAAAGTTATCTATTCACATAAAGAGTTTTAGTCTTCATTTATATGGATGAAAATGATGGGGGTCAGAGTGGAGACACAAAGCCCATCGGTAGGCAATTGGACATCCCCTCACAGCAGGGTTACAGGCAGGAACGAGTCAGCCAGGGTGCAGCATAACACCAACGAAACACACAACATTCCTCCAGTCCTTTAATGCTTCCTCCCCCCACTATCATGACCCTAGTTCTACCTTACAAATACGGCTAGATCAGAGCATGTACACTGGTACAGATAAGAACTCTTGACACGGAATCCAGGATAGATAAATCCCTCAGGAATAGTAATGGGAGTAGTAATACCTTGAGGGTAGGGGGAAGGTAGGGGAGAATTGGGAACCGATCACAATGATCGACATATTAACCCTCACCTGGGGGGCCGAACAACAGAAACGTGGGTGAAGGGAGACAGCAGCTGTGAGGTATGAAAATAATAATAATGAATAATTTATCAAGGGTTCACAAGGATGGGAGGGCTGGAGAGGGAGGGAAAAAAGAGGGGCTGATACCAAGGGCTCAAGTAGAAAATGTTTTGAAAATGACCATGGCGACATATATACAAAATGTGTTTGACACAATTGATGTATCAATTGTTATAAGAGCTGTAAGAAGCCTCAAATAAAATGATTAAAAAAGGAAGGGAAAAAAAAAGGAATTTCAATCTTGGAAACCAGGGTAGCTATGATTTGGAACCAATTTGATGGCAATGGGTTTGATTTTGGTTTATTGCATGAATTCATTTATAGGATTGCTATGAATTGGAATAAACTTGACAGCCCAGACAGCATTGCAGAAATACATAGAAATGTATTTATACTTCCTGTTAATAGGTATTTAAATGGGTTCTAGGTTGTTAGTATTACAAATATTCATATTGCTGCTATGTTCATTTATTTTTCCATAGAGTATATATTTAGAAGGAAGACTAGGAGCAATTCAATAAACATTTGTTGAATGATGAGATTTATCAACACAAAGTGTTACAGTGAGTGTAAAAATGCTCAATATATGGTAAGCTTATACATGTCATAGTTTTTTAAAGTGGTACCCTCAATGCAGAAATATACACAGGTAAAGGTAAGTGTAGCTGGAGGAACCCAGGCCTTAGGTCTTGCCTAATGTATCTGTAAAGAACGGAATGTATGACGGTTAGTTTTTTACTAAAAGAGAAAAAGTTATACTAAAGGAGTATTCATTAAAAAGTGAATTTTTTTAACCTTTTTGAAGGCCCCCCTGAGGTTCTTAAAAAAGCATAACTGCTCAAGGTAGATGTTTTTTATTAAATTACTGCTAAGTTTTAAGATGACGTCAGGGGATTGCTTTTTTTTTTTAAAACAATTTCCTTGGAACTCCACCCACATGTCACACAATTTAATAATTCAATCATATCAAGAAGAGTTGTACAATCATCTCCACAATCAACTCTAGATCATTTTCTTCTTCCTTGTACTCATTGCTATTCATGTAATTAAAAAAAATCGTGGCATACATACACATAACAAAATATTATCCAATTCAACAACTTCTATATGTGTAATTTAGTATCATTGATTTTATTCGTGTTGTATAACCATTTTTATTGAGATAAAAATGAATTATTCGCAAATATATTTATATGAGGATGGGGAAATAGATCTATGTGTCTATATTTATAGGTTTAGTATTAAGGTAGCAGAAGGACATTGGGCCTCCACTAAAGTACTC